CCCTCCCGTTTCTGTCTTTCACTCTCTCTCTCTCTCTCTCTCTCTTCCCCCTCCCGTTTCTGTCTTTCACTCTCTCTCTCTTTCTCTCTCTCTCTCTCACTCTCTCTCTCTCTCTCTCTCTCACTCTCTCTCTCACTCTCTCTCTCTTTCCCTTCCTCTCTCTCTGTATTTCAGTAGTATGTTTTGTTCTTTTAAGAATTATTATTACATTCCACCAAAGTGCTGCTTGTCAGCATGGCTTGCCTTCATGCCTTAAGACAGCCATGCTTGTGTTGTTTTTATCTGTCTACATTTGATGTCTCGTGATAAAAATGATGTAATGGGCTAATCAGTTAGGCCAGTGTGAGTCAGAATATGTGAGGCAGCATGGTGGAATTTTTGGGCATGTAGAGTTATTGGTACTATCTTAAAGCTTGTTCACTTATCTTTATTTCAATGAAATTAATATCCATTTATCTTGAATACAAGTCGAGACATTTGCGAAAGAAGAAGGTGGGGGTCACTTGTCTTTAGAAGTAAAAATAGTGAGAAAATGACCGCCAAAGATTAGTTATTTCCTTAGCTTAAGAGTCCGTGGAAACTGAAAATGTATATCTTTTGTGCCTTTAATCAACGTTTTTCAGAAAAATCCACACTGGAATGAGTTTTTTAATGGGCATGAAACGTGTTGAGCCAAAAAACAAAAATTTGATAAAAATTCTCAAACCTGCGGAAAAATGCAAGTTTCTTCACTTTTATTATTTTGACGAGAGCCTGATTCCACCTCGCTGCCTCACATATACTGATGGTAGTGAGCGCAGAGAACAATCAACATCCCACAATCTGTTGCATCCTTCTCGATATAAATCATGGCAAATGTTACTCTTTCATCTACTCATTTTGGATCATTTAGGACGTACCTGTTACGTCCAACTAGGACTGAGTGGAAGACAACACCCCAGTACACAGACGGAAGCACTAAAAACATAACTTTCCCAACTCACACTTTCAGGGGCAGAGGCAAAGAGTCTTACAGTAACATCACAGATGTTGGTGCATCCTTTTTTTTCATTCTGAAACTATATTATATAAGACATTGTGGTAAAATCAGTCGCTTGTCAAAATAATGAAATCAAAGGAAACGGCATTTTTCCTCCCGTTTATCAGTTTTATATCGATTTTTTTTTTGGCTCAATAACTTTCATTTCCATTTAAAAATGCATTCCTGGGTGGATTTTACAGAAAAACGTTGACAAAGAAACAAAACAAAAAGTAAATTTACAGTTTCCACGGACTCTCAATCTTTGGAAGTCACCAGACGTGGCGGCAATTTTCTCTCTAATGTTATCTCTGATACCAGGTGACCCCTACCTCCTTTAGATGAAGATATCTCGACTTCTGTTGAAGATATGTAGGCTAATTTTTCCATCGAAAGCAAGACAACTGAACAAGGTTTAGGATGATACCAATAACTCCATATATGCCTAAAAATTGACGAGCACCTGATTCCCCTGCATCATGACACATAATAGTCTTGATTTTCCTCTCCCTTCGGCTGTGGTCCTCTGCCATCTGTTCCCACTTTCTGCAGCTAATTAATTTCTAAATTAAAGTTGTGTAAGTCTCTCTTGCAGGCCTCTTTTTGTCTTTGTTCACATTGGCCTTTTTCTTGTATTCAGAATGATTAGGCTTGTTATAGATATACCCTTGGGTGGTTGGCGGGTGCTCTTGTGTTGTTTGCTTCTGCTTCTCCATCAAACATGTACCGTCCTTCTCTCTCCTCTACATTTTTTGTGTTTGTTACTCTCTTGTAACACTTCAAATCTTCGGCACTTTTTAACCTTATTGTGTTGCAAGTGCTGTAAAACTCTAACTTAAACTAATATATATATGTATAT